GCAGTGCCTCAGATCAAGGCCCGCACAGCACTGAAACTAACCTAGCATGAGCCACTCTCATGGCTTCTCTGTGGCGCCCAAACACAGTGCTCCCTGAGACACAGAACATACCAGGCTTCCTTCCTGACATGCCTTAGCTTCCTGTGGAGGAAGCAACGGGCTTTTGTCTGGATAAAACATCTCATCTGTGGAGCTGCTGGAAGAGGGAGGAAGTGCAGGGCCCTCGGACACAGGCCACCCCTCTGCGGCCTTCCCACTGCCCGCAATGGGAAGATGCCTGAGTGCCCAGACAGACAGCAGGTATCGGAGTTCACAAACTCAGCAGGGTCGAAAGGCACCCTGGGTACTAAGACTGCTTCCTAGAGTCCCGACGACCATCAGATGCCTCTTAAGAGGGGGCATGGGAGGCTGGAGGTTTGTTTGGGAGGGGAAAGGGAAAAAAAGACAGGAAGGAAGCAGCTCAGATGCCAAGTGGATCTCGTCCACAGGAGGGGGAGGGGCTTTGCTTTGTTTTCTCACATGTTCCTGTATTTCCCACATGGAAAATGAACACACCCCACTTTGGGGGCAGGGAGACCAGCGGGAGCCCAGCAGCTCCCCGGGGAGTAGCCAAGTCCTTTGTCCTACCCTCCACGCAAGTCCAAAGGCACCTGCTCTGGGGCCAAGCCTTGGGCCCCTCTGGGTCCATAAAGGGACCATTGTTCTCTACTAAGTGACATCATTCTGCCGCCAGGATGGGTGAAAAGAGACCTGAGGAAAACTGTCTGCTCTGCCCGTCCGTGGACAAGTGACATCATGCCAGCCCTGGGGTGCAGCTGGAAGCCTGGATACCTGGCAGGGGGCTCTGGGTGGGTAGTGGCAGGACAGGGAGGAGGAGCCACGTGGCCGAGCTGAGACCTCTCTGTAGGGCCAGGATCCAGGAGAAAGGCCTGGATCATAGTAGGTACAGCAGTGCCTGGCACATAGTAGGTACTGAAGAGATGCAATGTATGGATATCTGGTACACAGAAGGCACTCAACAGGAGATGCAACAACCATATTGGAAACACAGTAGGTACTTAATAAATACATAATTCTGTTCACATCCAGCATTTCACAGAGGCTCAAGATGACTGCACTTTCTGGTCCCAAACCTTCCAAGAGTGCAACTCAACACCCTCAGCAGCACTCCCAGCATGGCCAGGTCCTGACAACCCTGTCCCCGTCCTTGTGCCTCGGCCACGCTGGCCTTCTGCGCCTCTTCTGGCACACCAGCCCCAGCCCTGCTGTCTGACGCTCCGTCTTGGGCTCCCCTTGGGGGGGGGGTGTCGCTTTGTGACTCCCCTAACCATTTCTGCTGCCCCTGGAGCCCTTTGCACTTCCTTCAGCGCCAAAACAATGAGTAAGGTCACTCATTCCCTAGCTTGCTTGCTTCTGGTGCCTCTGTTTCTGGTAGCCCTGAGAAACAGAGACCACTCGGGTGACGCCTCGCCCCGAGGAGTGACAGGAAGGAGACCATCCAGTGACAGGCTAAGGTCTTCTCTCATCACCTGGTGCACGCTCACCCTGCCTCTCCCAGGAGAGGACCCAGGCTTTCCGTGTCCTAAGGTCCAGTCACTCATTCTCCTGAGCCTCAGTTTACTCCAGGGCAGACCTAAGAACTGAGGGTGGAAGGCAGGCAGGGCCAGACCCAGGGCAAGAAGTCACGGCTTCCTGGGCCAGGTGAGACAGGGGACGACCTAGCCCTCAGGCTGCTAGGACTGCCCCGGACAGGGACGGGCCTGGTGTAGTGGTAGGACAGTGGCCCCAGGGAGACATGCGCGTCCATCCTACACAACACTCACTTGGAAATTAAGGTCTCCGCAGATCAACTAAGCTAAGGACGGGGAGGCAGGGTCACCCAGGCCTGGAAGTGTGCTTAGGTGAAGGAATGCCACGCAGCTAAGGGCAGTCTGGGGCAAAGACGCTAGGGTCCAGACCCTGTGGGCCCTTGCCTAGAACATACTCAGGAAGGGGCTGGCTCTGCACTGAGATGCTGGGGTGCCTCCATGCTACCACAGTGTGCTGGTTGCTGCAAGCACCTACAGCTCACAATGTACAGGAGCCTACACGCAGACTGCACACAGATTTGTATGGGACTTGTGCATCTCAGGCCTTGGTACACATGAGGGTCCCAGAACCAATCCTCATAGCTAGGACGTATAAGCTAAGGGATGACTAGCAGAGCAGGGATTCTTAAAGTAGGAGGCGGGCTAAAATCACCCACCAGAAAGGTCACAGGGGAGCCCAGTTCACAGAAGGGAATGGTAAGGCAGGCCGTAAGGGTTGATGTGACTTAGCTAAGGCCACTCAGCCAGCCGCCCTGGGGAGCCGAAGGCCAGGTCCATGTCAGCTTTGTGCAGCATGCAGAGCCTCCTGGCCAAGCCCCTCCACCATACGCATACGCGCGCGCGCGCACACACACACACACACACACACACACTCTTCTCATTCTTCCTCATGCCCAGGCCTCCTGCGACTGACATTTCCTTGTACTTTTGTGTCCCCACCAGTCCCCATTCTGTCCCTCCCATCCCCAGTTCTCCAGGCCTCTAACTGCCCAGCCTCCTTTCTCTGCACAGTGGCCCTTCCTGCCTCCTGGGGCTAGGACAAAGTATTGTTTTATTTTCCTTCTTTCTTATCTGGGACAGCTAGAGGCCAGCCACCAGCCAATGGTTTCAAGGCTGGCTTGAGATTTTTCCAGCTAGGCTGCCACAGACCCTCCTGTAAACACAGCCTCTTTCTGGATGAACGGAGCTGAGGGGAATGATTGCTCAAAACCCCACCCCTCCTGCCTACATGCTTTGCTGCTTTAGGAAGCTCCCACCCATAAGACAAATATTTAAGTGAAGTTCAGAGTGAAAGGGGTGTGTGCAGAATCTACACTTGGAAACCCCTGGAGGCAGGGTTTGAGAAAAAAGGGCTTGGTTGTCACGCACATGAGCCATACAAAGCCCAGGTGTCATGCCCATGGCTACAGTGCTCCTTGTCCGCCCAGCATCCCATTTCTCAGAGGGGGAAATGAAGGCACAGAGAGAGCAGAGGATGCTGGTCCAACTAAGGCAACACATCTGAGAAGGCTGGTGAGGATCCAACCTCGTGCAGGGGGATCTGCAGCAAAACAGGAATCCCCACGCCACACTGTAGGACAACCTGGCACCCAACAGATTTACAAGTGCTTACCCATCACGTACCAGCAGGGTGCTGACAGCATCTCAGAACAAGCCCATGGGCCCCTCACTGGACAGAGGAGGAAACTGAGACTTGAGAATGGGTTGAACCAGTGCCAGCCTTGCCCACAGCCGAGGCCAAGCATAAGTGGGAAGGGCCTGGAAGCCCACACCAATTCACTAATGCGCTGCCAGGTGTCCCACGTGACAGCCTGAACACTGCGTCAGTCAGTCATTCACTTGCTTGGCCACCACGGAGGCTGGGCTGTCACTGTGCGAGCATGTCCCACACGCAAAAAGACTTAGGGCAGCAGTCAAAGTCACACAGCACCTGAAGAGCTGGAGCAGAGGGCAGGGAACAGAGCTGGCATTCCTGGAGAGGATCCTGGGAGTGGGCAACAAGGGAACGGACGTGGGCAGAAGGATACAAAGACAGAGAAAAACAGATGCAAAGGAAGATCCTTCCTGCAGACAGGTCACACCTTTCAGAGGATGGGTGGGGCTCTGTCTTTCGGACCCAAGCCCCAAATGGGTGCAGACTCCCACACAAGAAGGTATCCCTGCCCTGACAGCCCCTGGCATGGCTTCTGGCCTGGGTGAGCCCCTACCTCTTCCTCTGTGACCCAGGCCAGCAGAGTACTCAGTGCTGAGTGCAGCTCTGGGGTAGGTCTGAGCTCTTGGGGTCCTCGCCGTGCAGAGCGTCTGCTCAGGGTTCTCTTGCCCGATACTGGTCACATAACGAACACTGGCTCGGATGACAAAATGCTGACTGCCCCCAGGCCTGGCCTCATACATCCCTGAGAACTGGGCCAACTCAGCCCGGGGCAGAGGCCAGATGTCTGAAGATGCCAGGCACTTGGGCTAAGCTCAGTTCCCATTGGTGATGTGAGCGCCCCTGAAGTTATCAAAGGTCTGAGAGACCATCTGCCAGGAGGGAGGCAGAGAAGCTCTTCCTGCTTCTGTCCCCAGCCAGACTGCCCGAACCTTGCTGCCACCCTTCCATCTCCAGGTCCTCCTGATGCCACCTGGCCAGCTCTCTACTCACTGGCTATCCCTACCTGGTCCCCAAGCCCTTAAGAGACACAGCATGGAATGCAGTATCTGGGCCCGAGTGCTCCACCGTGGCCTGGCTGCTCACACAAGCCCAGGCCAGTGGGACAGATCACCTGCCACCTGGTCACGAGGCTCCACCCCTTGGAAATCACTCTAGATCTCAGGTCAGATCAATGGCGAGCACACATGCCTTAACTCAGCATGCATGTGACAAGACCACTTGGTCACCCAGGGAGGGCTAGAGGAGACGGAGGAGCAGGTGTCAAGTAAGCTTCCCTAAAAATAGAGACGTGAGCCTGTGCGGTGGGAGCCCACGGCGTCCACAAACAGCCCGATGACAGACCGAGGAGCCTGGGAGTCAGTTCCCCGCCAGCTTTGGGGAGGGGGTGCTGCACCTCCAGGGCGGCCGGCCCAGCCTCCTACCTCCCCTTTAGGATCCTGGGGCCACTCTCCTCAACACTGAAGAGGTCCTTCCCTGAGGCCGCTGGGAGCCAGCCCCCTCCCGGGAGCCCGAGGGACCTTCCCAAGGTTGCCCTGCTATTTTAAACCACACGCATCCCCAGCTTACAAGATCAGGGGCCTCGGAGTCCGGCTGCCTCTTCCTGAGAGATGAAAACCTCTGCTGGCTGCGGGCGGAGAAGCGGCGGAAGGACTCCCGGCTCCGAGAGGCCAGGTGTCTGAAGGAGGACGTGCGCTTGAAGGGGGTGCGAACGGCAGGCTCCCCGCTCCGCTCGGCGCCCACCGTGGCCGTCACAAGGTGCAGGGCCTCTTGGAAGGACCTCCTCACCGTGCCCACCCACTGAGACATGTGCGTCTGGGCCACCGAAAGCTTGTCACCCAGGTAATCCATGAGGCCAGCCTGGAGGAGGAGGGGGGTGCCAGGCGGAGGCAGTTAGGAGGCCAGCGCTGCCAAGGTCCTGGTCCTTCTGTCGGTGGCAGTCCTTGGGGAGAAGTTCTGGGCTCCGGTGGAAAACCCGGCAGAGCACATCAGCCCAAGTAAAGTAAACATCGCCCGACAGGCATCCGCGGGTCACAAAACAGGGACAGTGACGGGTCAGCTCGGGGCCACCAGGAGCATCAAGTCAACCAACCAGGACGTCCAGTTCTAGTCCCCAGGGCCAGCCCTGCTGAATTCAAGGAGCAGGAAGCTGTGAGGAGCTGGGCCAGGGGGCTGGCACCCCAAACTCACTTCCCTCCATGCAGGTAGCCCTCCCTTTCATACCTGGCAGCCCCCACCCACCACAGCCCCCGCTCCCGATGTCCCCTCCAGGCCCTTCTCACCTGAACCAGGCGGACCTCCAGTCCTCCCTCCGGAGCCGCTAAACCCGAAGCTGAACCTGCTGGCCAGCAGGCAGCGCACTCACTTCCGGAGAGGCGGACACCCAGCCCGGGTCCCCTGGCCCGGCAGCCCAGAATGACATCAGCCCCCTGTCTTGGCGAGGGGCACACAGCCCAGGAATGCAGGAGGGGCCTCGGGAGGTGGGGGAGGTGGCCGCCCAGGGAGCTGGCGTCAGCCCCAGTTTTGTTTTTTTTCCCCCTAAGTCTCAACTCGCTCGCTGTCCCTCGGGGACTTCATGTGCCAGACTGCCTACCCAGCCCAGGCAGCACCGTGCAGAGACACGGTTGCTGGGCGTGCGGGTGTGTTCGCATGTGGGGGCACGTGCGTGGGAGGGAGGCGAGGCTGCCCCCGGGGGAGGGGGAGGGATGCCGGATCCGGTCTGTGCCTCTGGGGCTTCAGGTGGAGTCTGAGGACCTGTGGCTGGCTGTCGGTCTGTCTCCCTCTCCCGGCGGCACCCTCTGCTTCCTCTCCCTGCCTCTGACTGTACTTGGCGAGCTCCAGGCTAAGCCTCCGCCATCAGCTCCTCCTCCTCTCCCTTGCCCCCTCCCCCGGCTACCCCTGCTGCCTCTCCTGGAGGACAGAGGGTGCAAGTGACCCGCCCTGAGCTCCCCACAGGGGTGCGGCTGGGGCTGGGATGCCTGTATTTTGGTACAGACAGGGGTTACCATGGGAACTTGGGGGCACAGCATCTGCCCCTTCCCTAGGCTGGGCACAAGGTGCCATGGGGATGATTCAGGAGATCACGTGAGCTCACTTGATTTTAACCCTTGAGGGTGGAGCTCGTGGGGAGTGGGGTGCTAAAACAGAAGAGGGTGGGCATTGGACAGGGAAGGGCATCAGGGCAGATGCTGGGCCTTCCAGTTGGGACCCATGCCCTCTCTGTCTCTTCCACAGGTGAGGAAATGCCAGCTCTGAGAGGTAGATTCATTGGTCCAAGGTAAAGCTATCAAGGTTTGCTTGAAAATGCCTCCCTCTCCACTGCTGTGTGATAGGTCTGACCTGCAACTTGTCTACTGTGAGGGCTCAAAAATATTGACTTTTCAAAAGCCAGGCCAAATCCAAGGTTGAAATCCACATCAGCCCAACTGCCTGGTGTGATCTCTGTACCACCCCCTCACCTCTGTCCTGAAAAAATATTTGCTCTCTAGACACCAGACTTGCCAAAGTAAGTTTATCTTGAAGTCCCCTCTGACCGTGTTGTGCAGGCAGCTGCCTCCTCTTCCTCCTTCTCCACCCCTTCCTCCTTCTCATTCTGGGATCCCATGGTCCAGCATCTCTCATTCACTTAAGAGTGACAGTGAGCACCTCCTCTGGCCCAGGCACATGGCCATGTGACATGGAAGGCCACAGGGATGTAACACAGCTACTGATTTGACACCTCCCAAGCCTGATGAATGTTTGAAGGATCCCATTTGTTGAAGCGGGAGACTGAGGCCCAGAGATCTGAGTCAATACAGGCTTGTGTGTGATGGGCTGCCTCCCAGAGGCCCCCAGTGACCCCAGTGTCCATTCCACAGTGCATCAGCTTTGGACCCCGAGCTCAGCACAATGAGGGCAGCTTTCCAAGGTGACTCTGTTGGGTGCTCAGGCAGAGGGGCCCACAGGGAAGACACCAGGGTTCCAGCTGGAAGCCAGCACCATGGCTGGCCATAGGATGGAGGCAGGTACCTGGCCCTAGTCAGACCCCAAGAACAGGACCCAGGGCCAACTTCCTAACTAGAGTCACCTGGAGACAAGAAGCTGTGCCACTTAGTCAAGTGTCCTCAGTCTCCTGATCACAGGAAGCTCAAGGGTCCTGAGACAAGCCAGGATCTAGTCCACAGGGAACTATGGGGGTAAAGCAGGGTTGGCTCACAGCAGAGGGAGGGCCTCATGAGGTCAGACTGTGTGTCCAGCAGGGGAGTCGTGGTCCTAGCCTGTACCCCTGCATGTAGATGCGGAGCCACGCCAGGGGAGGGCCAGTCCCCACCTCCACTGGGACCTGACTCCTTCCCCAGCCCCCAACGGCAGCTACACCCACAGTTCCAGTCAGGCCTTCTGGCCTCCTCAAGGAATTCACAGGAAACCCCTGCCTCAGGCCACTTCACAGACCTCCCTAGGTAACCAGAGGCATGCAGGGGACAGGAGGAGACAGACAAACCCTCCCCATCTGTCCCCAGAAACCCCTGGAGAACTGGAGGGGAACCCAGGTCTAACAGGCCATCTGGACACAGAGGTGAAGGCTGTTCCAGCCTCTGGGTGGAAGCAGGGCCATGAGAGGCATGACAGGTCTAAAGTGATCTCAATTCTTGTCGCACACAAGGCTTGGGGGGTGGGGTGGGTGCAGCACCCATAATATTTCTTAGAGGAAGCTAAATGCCCCAGATTAAACACTGCCCTATGGTGACAGACAGACATGCTAAAGCTGGGGATCAGGAGGGGGCTGGCACGAGCAAACAGGTTTTATGAAATGGATAGCATCATTTTTTTAAAAGATTTATTTATTATGTATACAATGTTTGTCTGCATGTACACCTGCACGCCAGAAGAGGGTGCCAGATTTCACTGTAGCTGGTTGTGAGCCACCATGTGGTTGCTGGGACTTGAACTCAGGTCCTCTGGAAGTGCTCTTAACCTCTGAGCCATCTCTCCAGCCCCCGACAGTATCATTTTTACATGACTTGGAAATGCTTGGAATTAAAGGAGGAGGGTGTGTGTGACTGTTGACCCCGAGGTTCATGGTGGATGTCACAGGAGAGAATCCACCTTGGAAGGAAGAACCCACAGCAGTGGATGCTTTAAACCTTCCCATCACAGTGTCCAAGTAGGAATGAGAGGCCAGGTGCTCCGTGGAAAGGGGTGGACAAGCTGGGGCAGATGCTGTCTGGATCTACCTGATCCTGCCTTTCTAGTATTGATTCTCTATCCTTCATGGGATTTTGCTTTGATTTTTTTTTTTTTTTAATGCACTCACTTAAACATTTTTTATCTTGAGGCTTGACTGTTTTGTTGTTTCCCGGTCCTAAGTGATGGCCTCACTGGCCAGACCCTGGCCCCTGCCCTGCAGTGGATTAGCTAAATCAAGCCACAATCTGTAACTGGCTTTAATTAGCTGTGTGCCACGGAGCAAGTAACTAAACCTCTCTGATTTGTTTCACAAATGAAACCAAGTGCATCCTTGGCATGGATGTGGTTGATTGGCCCCCTGCCTGTCCCTACTTTTAGAAGGCACACTTGGCCTTTTGCCCATGAGTCCACCTGTGCCATCCCTAAAACACAATCTCTGGCTCAGAGATACACCCAGCGGTCACCCCAGTGATCAGCCAGCAAAATAAATAAATAAATAAAAACCTCAAATCTTAGGTCCCCGTCCACAGGGAGACCATCCTCAGTGGACACCTGTGTGTCCCCAGCTCTGTCCCTGCTCAAGCCTATGGCCTGGCTTCCTCCACCAGCACAGGAGTCTCCACCTGTCTCTCCAGAACGACACCAGCCACAGAGCACTCTGCTACCATCATCACTGTCCCCCACGGGCCAGCTGTGGCCGAACCCCAGAGCACCCTGCCCCACCCCACGTATCATGTCACGGCAGGGTAATGATGTCACTGGGATACAATACCGTGTGACATCACAGTGCTGCCTCATCAAATTACTTCACCAAGCACCACCATGTTGCCTTACTGTCACTGACCTGCCTCACCTGCTCTTGCCAACAATACAGTAAGCTCCGTTCCATTGTACAGATGGACAGCTCGGGGCCAGGAGAAGTGACATTACCAGCCCGGGGTCACACAGCTGTAAGTGGTGGAGTCGCCAGCGTGGAGGCTGCTGTGGGTCTCAGCATCCAGCCTCCTTCCGAGAGACAGGAGCCAGGAGCCCAGGAGAGCGGGGAGCCAGCTGCCTGCTGCTTGCTCTGGCTCTCGCTGTCACCACGTGCTGGGGCTATAAAAAGCGTCACTCCTGAATCTGGGGCAGCACAGGCATCCCCCCAGAGGCCTGGTTCTGCAAATGCTATTCTCTCCAGGAAACTCTGGGGACACCGCAGGCATCCTAAAAGCAAACTATCTTCCTTACATAAGGAATGTGCAAAAGGAGCTGTAGGGGCCCGGAAGGAACTTAGGATGAAAACCACAGTGTGAGGTGGAGCAGGGAGCCCACAGATCTCAAGAAGGGAGGGATTTGTCATTCACTCACTCATCCATTCATTCAGCAAACAGTTATTCCACATACATCTGAGCTGACATGAACAGAGCTGTGGACGGTCCCTGCACAGCTCAGCCTTTCTCTCTAAATCTAAAGTATGAAGGGAGAAGGTTCCCCATAGGCCACCCCAAGCCTGGGCCCCACCATTCCTTCCCAAATCTGGCGGAAGAGAAAGCCAAAAGGAAAGGACATGGTGCCTGTGACCCAAGAGCCAGGGACAGAAACAGAGATGCCGAACCCAACCGGAAAAACGCTGAAGGCAAGGAGGAAAAGGTGCAGAGAGGGGATGGAGTGTCTGGAAGGGGTTTGGATGGGTGAATAGGAGTGCTGCGAGTGCTGAAATGGGAAATGGCCAGAAGTGTGGCCATATTTAGTCTGGACTCTTGGAGGGCCACACACTGCTTATATCGGTTCCTAGAGTGAAGACGGCCTCCTCCTCCTCTTCCTCCTAGACGTCCCTCACGCCCCACAGCCGGCGGCTGGCCCCACGCAGCCCAGGCCTCCCTTACCTCACTATCTTCACATTCCTTGCCGACTGTACATCCAGGCTAAGGAAGTGGACGATTATGCTGTTGATAAGAACGCCATTACTCAAAGGTGTTCACAAGCCCCGAGCCGCCCACCTCTCACCTCATTTAACTCTTACTGCATGGGTGAGTTCCGTTACAGTCACCCTCACTGCCCAGCTGGGTGAGGAGAGCTCCAGGGCCACACTCCTGTCACTGAGTGGGTGCGTGGGACTTGGGACTTGACTCCAGGGCCCTCTGGCCGCAACACCTTCACACTGCCTCTTTCCCTTATCACTTCAGGGTAGAAGCCAGAAGTCACATACCATCCCAAAAGGGCTGGCTCTGCCACCAAGGTCTTTCCATGACTGTGACCACCACTCAGTGGGACTCTGAATTCCCAAGGTTCCCTGGGAGCTGCCAACAGGTCATTGCACTGTTCCCCCCTACCCCACCCCCACGCCTGTCCAGCTAACAGCCCAGAAATGAATCCCCAGGCCCACATGTGGAATGTGCATGAGGCTCTAGAAAACCCAGTCTCCTTCCCTCGGACGGAGCCCTGTGGCCCCAGGCCTGACTCGCAGCTTGGGGTCACCTCTGAGGCCAGCTCACTATTGCCCAGCTGCTGTTCACTTAAGAGAGTCTGTGAAGGGCTCAGTGCGTGCCTCTCTCAGGAGGGTCCTTGCCAATCCTTGCCGGTTTGCCGGAAGCCAGAATCACATAAACCAACGACAGAGGGAGGGCGTGGGATCCCAGCACTTAGGAGTTAGAGGCGGGAGAATCAGGGCTCCAGAGTTATCCTTGGCTCCACAGGGAGTTTGAGGCTAGCCTGAGCTACATGAGCTCTAATATCGTGGGTAGAGTGGGGTGAAGCCCATTCGCTTCAAAGGGTTTAAGCAAACCCCTTTGGTTTGGCCCGGCGCATGGCCAGCCCTCCAGGAGGAGGGAGGGACGGGTGTCTGAAGAGGTTGTCACTACTCTAGTCTAAGCTCATCACCTTGTTCAGAGACCCTAGATACCATGTCCGAGGCAGGCCACACACGCAGGGCTGTCCAGGGCCCCAGGGGAATCCATCAGGTGCCTCTGGTTCCTTGCAGCAGGTGCTTGTGGCACAGGCGGTGATGAGCTGGGACCCTCCCCTCACCCACTCATCTCCTACTTGCTCTACACACAGACGCACCGGACAAGCCTCCATCCCAAGATATGCCACACCCTCTGTGCCCTCTGCTCTACACATCCCCCCCATGCTGTTCCCTCTCTCTGGGACACCCTTCCACCCCTTTTCACTCCGGGTCCAAGATCAGGATGTGCTAGACGCCCCCTCCTCCAAGAAGCCTCCCTCAAACCACTGAGCATACTGGGCCATGACTCGGTTTACCGACCAGTTGCTTAGCCAGGGACAGTTGGGCTACATCTGGCCCACCCAGTACCCTAGAAAGACACTACCCACGACCCACCATGTAAACAC